TAAAATAAAGATTAATAAAATAATTAATATATTTTTTATTATTAGATTATATAAAAAATAATTTTTAATTTTAATAATTAGTTAATTAAATTAAAACATGTAACATTAATATTAAATTAATATTGTTTTTATATAAATTACTAATTAAAAAATATATTAATGATAACTTCAAATATATATTAAAAATGAAATTCATAGAAAAATCCTTTACTAAAGAATAATAGAAAAAAATAATCCACTCTAATCCGATAACATAAATCTTAAGTTAAAATCCCCAATATAACCCTTCTTCTTCTTTTCAATTAATAGATAAATAATTTCAATCTCTTAAAAAATAATAATAATAATAAAAAGGAGAAAAGTAAAATAATTAGCATGTGCCATGGGCATTGGCAAATGTGTAGAATAATTAATCAGTAAAAAATTAGACATAAAAGCCACTCCACTCAAATTTCCCACGCCCTAAAGCACACACGATCCCCTGATGGAGGAGGAGACAGTCATCATTGCGGCACTCTCCTCCCTCTCCCTCCCCCACCTCTCAGATCTCACCCACTCCCTCCTCTCCTTCACTCTCCACCACCGCCGTCGCCTCTCTCGCCTCCTTTCCTCCCCAACCCTTTTCTTTCTCACCCTCCAACACCTCCACTCACTCTCACTCCCCAACAAGACTCTCCTCATTGCCCGCCACCTCCTCTCCTCCCTCCACCTCATCACCCGCCACTTCCAACCGCCACCACCCCACCCTTCCACCACCATCAACCACCGTGACCTCGACGCCGTCTTACTCCTCCTCCTCCTCTGCGAAACCCACCAACATGACCCAAAAGCTCTTGAGCAACCTTACACCGAATGGCGACCTATTTTAAGCAAGTTTTACTCGGATACCATGTTAACGATCGGTTGCACTGGCGGCGGGACTTGCGACGGCGCCGTTTTACTCCCGTTCATTGAAATGGTATCTAGGTGTAGGAAATTTATAGGCGTGATGGGTTGTGATGGGAACGAAGGGAGGGAGCTGGCGGCATCACCGGCAGCCGTGGTGGCGCTTCCGGCGGTGGAGGTGAGCGGCGGCGGTGTCGAGTGCGTGATATGCAAGGAGGAGATGAGAGAAGGGAGAGACGCCTGCGAGCTGCCATGTCAGCACTTGTTTCATTGGATATGCATACTGCCATGGTTGAAGAAGAGGAACACGTGCCCCTGCTGCAGGTTCGAGTTGCCGTCCGATGATGTTTACGGCGAGATAGAACGGCTGTGGGACGTTCTGGCGAAGGCCGGCAGTGGAAAGGTGATGATCGAGAACCGACATGGAATGATTGATCGACACGTGGGGGAATCAGATGGATTGTTGAGTCCAAATGGAAATGCAAATTATGGTGGGTGATGTGTAGACGATTAATTGTTTTTGATAGGGACACGTGTGGTTATATACATTACGTAATAAATTTATGATAATAAGATATCGATCCAATGGTGGTCACACGTATTCCTCTCAACCGGTCTTCTTTAAATGTTTGATATTGACTCGGAAGCACGATTTATTATGGGTTTTTCTGATGGATAATGGTAGATGGGAAGAAAATTTTGGGACTAAAGTTTGGATATTAATAATATGAAATTATATCATTTAAAATACTAAAATATAATTAATGTTTATTTTAAATTTTATAATATTATATATATATTAATTTATTTAATAAGATGAGTTATATTATATTATTAATTATCTCAAATTCTCGTCCTCTGTATTACTGCTTTTTTCTAATATGTGCCTAAGGGACAAATTAGGTGTATATTTAATGTATTTTTATTCATTAAATTATATAAAAAATAAAGTTTAATTTTAGTAACTAACAATTAAATTAAAACATAGAATATTGATACTATAACTAATATCAAATTGTTTTATGTGACTTAATAATTAAAATGTGTTATATTATTAGTTTATGCCTTCAAAGCATAGATTAAAAAAATCTTTTTGTAATTAGTAGTGCATATGAACTTAGCCAAATTCTTATGAATCTTTTGACAATATATTTGGATTGAGAGAAATGAAAGGGAGAAGAAAGGAGAAAAAATTTTACTATTTTATTTATTTATTTATTTATTTATCTAAATAAAAAAAAAGAAAGGGAGGGGAGGAAAATAAAATGATACAATTCACCTATTCTCTTTAACCCAAATATATGATAAGTGAAGTGATATAGACTTCTTTTACCAAAAAAAAAAAAAAAACTGAAGAAGTGATATAGACGTCATTTAAAAAGACTATGCTATGCTATGGCTATATGATTGTAAGTATTTTTGTCTTTTACCTTTTATTTGGGTTTAAGAGAATAGGGGGAGAGGAAGGGGGGAGGGGAGAGATTAGAAGGGAAATTATTCTCCTGCATTTCTTTCCTCTCTCTTCTCTTTTTTTCATTTAGACAAATAATTGAATTAAAAGAAAAAATAAACGAAAACTTTCCCTTTTCCTCCCATTTAGTTTTTTAATAACCAAATAGAAATTGTTTTTTCCTCTTCACTCTTTAATTATCCTCAATTCAAACATATGGTTAATATCTTAATAATATATAAAAATATATTTAGTATTTATTTTAATTAATGTTGTATAGATTTTAAGATTGTGAAAAGGACTAAAAAAAAAAGAACAAAAAAAAAGTTATAGCTAGAGCACTTACAACGTTCCCAAAACGAATCCATATTCTATCTAGAGCTATACATGAATAAAGCTAAATTAAGTATTAGAGTACTTGAATTCGAGGTTAACTCTAATTAATCGTATTTGAGCTTCAATTGAATCAAATTTCTAAAAATCAAGCTTGAGTTCAAATTCAGAAGTGCATGTTGAGCTCGATCTTAACTTTGTAAGCATCTGTTTAGGCTCATACTCATTTACCAAGTTGAAATTTTACCAAGTTGAAATTTTGAACATTTTGAAAAAGAAATCAACTTTTGAAATGAATAAGAGAAAACTAATAGAGGATGAAATGGATTTGGGATTCCGAAGAAGTGAGGGATAGAAGATGAAAACATAAGATGTAGCTGATGGAGGGAATGATGACTTTGATCCTACAAACTTTGGAAATGAATTGCAAAACCCAGTAGGTTATGGTTTGCCTCTTTGCCTTTGCGCACTGTTGGGCCTAAAAAAAAACCTTAGCCACCTAGCTTAAGAAGTGGTAATATTGGGCCTCGCAGCCTCTGTTGAACCTCAACCCTTGAAATATGAGCCCAACCCATTTCATGGGGGGCGTCCTTTTGTGACGGTGTTTTTCAAATTTTCAATAACGAGGCCTCGAGCCCTTTCTTTCTTTTTTTTTTTTTTTTAAGAATTTCTAGGCCTCAGGCCTGGAATGTGGCAGATGATTATTTTTTAATAAAAAAGTAAAAATTAAAATACTTTAATATTTTAAATGTCAACATTTGTTATAAAATATTATTTAAATATTTTTAGTAAATCATTTTTACCTATCAATTCATTAAAAATAATTTAATCTTTTCATTATTAATCTTAATATTTTAATTAGCAAAAACCTTTAATTTTTCACAAATCCTTAATTACAATAACTAGCTTTAACTAAAAATCAAAGGAGGAAGGTCAAACCAACTCGCTGAAGTCCTAAATATAAAAAATTTCTTCATCCATTTGTGAAAATCAGAACTCATAGAATCTCCTTTCCCATTTCTTTTTCTCATAACTTAAATCATTTGCCTATATATTAAAAAAAAAAAAGAAGCATTTTTATAAACTGAATCACGGGATTCTTTTGATTCAATGTAAGATTGAGAAAGTGTAGAAAACATGAAATTGAGAATTCTGCCACAACTACAAGGTAACATATTGGATATCAAAACTTTTGAGTTTCATCTGGACATTAAATTTTGACATTATTGTCACCCTTAATCATCATTTGAAAACATGATAGTGCTGAGACTTATCTTTTCTTCTTTGTTTACTTTAGGACCCTCTCAATCTCACGTTTTGCTTCTTTTTTTCCTTTGTGCTACTTGTACTTAAAGCACCCTCAGCTGCTCTTCTCTTTTCCTGACATATTTTACAAGCCATTTCGTTAGCATCATTTTTTCCATCTATACTTTTGCCAACACAATTTCCCCTGGGCCACCCTTGTCTCTTGATTCCAATTATCAATTGTGCCACCTAATTTAATTTACGCATAATAATAATAATAATAATAA